ATAAAGCGTACAATTTGTTTTTGTTGTAAACAATTTTGCATTTTGTGATATTTTGCAATTTCTTTCAATTGATGCATTTACTTCTTCTACTCATAAAAAAAATTTAGATTAATCATGTATTGGAAACTATTCATGTAAGCTTTTGGCTAAAAGATATCCCCTGAAAGTCTAAGTGGCCTGAAGTAATAAAGTGACTGATAATTAAGGATTCTTATATTGATGATCAAAATATTGACTAATATGATTGGGAATAAAAGATAAGGAAAATACTATGATGACTTTGCTAGAATATTCAAAGCACATTTTGTTGATACATAGCCACTATGTCACACTTTGACTCAACATTTATCTTTAGATCAAATTATTTTCCAGATGAAATTTTGTGTACAAGACCATGGAGATAACTGAGCATACTTGACACCGTGGACTTTGCTCTAGTTATATTGCCATGCAATATAGCTCTGTCATAAAATAGCGGCCACACACGGTGGAATCGTTGTTTTGGACTCACTTGCTATTGGCTTTGCTAGAAGGTTTTAGATTTATAAAATGTTTATGAAGAATGAAAAATCAATCAACGTAAATATTGAAATATAAATTATAATAATTAAATTTAATAATCCAGTAAACTTTACGGTAAATAAATTCATTTATAGAAAAAAAACTCAAATCTATTGGAATCTCATAACCATTTAAGTATAAAATATAATTTAGAAAAATAAAACAACCCAAATCAAATAGATTTCATAATTCATAACTTGATTCCACTAAATTAGAGAAGTAATAAAAATGGAGTAACTACACTTTCTTTCAGATTGATGATAATCTATAAATTGTAATAACTGTGTATATTTTGAAATTTTATTTTCTTACAATTGAGAGTCTAAAAATTCTTTTAAGATATAAATAAATTCTTATTACATGAGTTTTAATTTCTAATAAAATGTTTTTTTATTTTGGGAATTTCCATAAATAATTGTAGAATTTAAACTGAAAATAGAATGAAAAAATCGTTTTACGCGTTTATATTACATTAAAAAAACATGTCAACAGTTCAAAATTAAATTAATGTGTATATTGCATGTGAAATAAATATTGGGAATATCCAACGGTTAGATTTGATTTTTGAAAGAAACAAAGTATAAAAAAAGAAAGTAACATAATAAAATAAATTGAAGATAACTATGTATCAAAAAAATAGATGTAAAATCATGACAAATTCATCTAAATTCAGATTTAAAATTTTTTTGAATATATTTTAAATAACCAAAAATATCCTAAATGATGCCTAACATGATGTTGGTATTTTTGGATTTTATGGCTATTTTTTATGATTGCATAGATTATTTAAACCTCATTTGTTTCATTTTGACTAAAATCAACATCCTATAACATTTTGATCATATGAGTATTCCAAATATATTATTGGTCTAGGTTTGTAGAAAAATGAATGAAATTTAGAAAAATACTTAAAAAATTAAAACGAATAATGTTTTTTCTCAACAACAAATAAAAAAAATATTATTTTGATATCTCAAAAAAGTATACCCTAATATTTAATAGTTTCTATAAAACAACGGTGAATTATTGGAATACTATTTGAAAGAATAAAAAAGATTGAGGTATAAATTATATTTATAATGCAGAATAATGGAATGTTTTCAACAAACATATATTAAAATAGAGTTGATTTTCTTTTATGATTTAAAAAATTCAAGTTTTATATTATTAAGTGGATAAATCAAGAAAATGAAAATCAAAGATAAATATAGTATACTTTTAATCATACTTAAATTTTACTTCGGTTTTCGGAGCCCTAAGTCGGTAGCTTTTGTGCTTTTAGCTGTTTTTAATTAACCCAGAATCACCTTCGATAACGATCGAGTTTTTTCTCCCTTGACCGGGTCATAGAGCAGTATTTAACCGGGCCCCCTCCCTCTGTCCGGTCACATCATTTGGACCTGCTCTATCCATGTACAATTTAGAGACGTGGAAGTTTTGGATTTGGCTCATCTCTTCGGTTTCATCTGCGTCGTGAAACTCACGCCGCTCAATGAAGACAAATATGTCCATTGCGTTCAGGACTTACTAGAAAAGAGTAGACTAAGAACCTCGGTCTCTTTGGAGACAAGTGTGTCAAGTGAAGAGTTGGGTTAGAAGGCCAAGCAATCCTGGACTCAAAACCTTGGAGCCATAATCAAGCGGCCGGAGTCAGCCTGGCTGCGATAGGGGACAGTAGGTCAGATTTGCCGTAGTAAGGACATTAACGACGAGGATGTACTTGAAGGGATCGAGAGGTTGTGACATCTATCCATGTGGCTCAAGAAGTGTATCAAAAAAATCAAGAAATGACGTTTGAACTTCCGGATTTTACCCGAACCTGATCCGGTTTTATGGGTCGGTTCGGATCGAAGGTCAAATCCGACCTAAACCCGTCCCGATCAGAGCCCTAATCCCAAGTCTTTGTTTTCTTTTGCTACATAGCTTTATTTCTTGCCAACACTGCATCAATGCCACATTGTCAAGGAAAACTTGGCTTATTTTCTGAAGCTGAAGTGATGACTCAACTCACAAAATTGGCAAATGGTAAATGAGATGTTTAACCATTGAACTTTTCAAGTGAGGAGAAATGCTATTGGATCTATCCTCACTTAAGTGTTAGAGAATGTTATTATCTATGGTTTTGCTTCCACTTGATCTTTATAGAATATTGTTCATATTCACAAATCTGGAAGCAAGGACTTGGTGACAAACTATGGAACTATCATGGCAAATAGTATTTTTGCCAAGTTATTTAGCAAATTGATGGAGTCAAATTTGAGCACATGAACTGAATCTCGTCAGTGGAAAGCGCGATTCCAAGCTGGTTTTTGTTCTACATTCAACACTATAGATCAAATTTTGATTTTGCGTGTTTTATGAAAACATTTCAAGTGCAATGGAAAAACTTTGTGTTGTGCTTTCATTGATTCCAAGAAAGCTTTTGACATGATTTTTTATGGCAAATATTGCAAACTATTAGAGTATCATCAGCTTTCTTAGCAGACATGACAAAATAGCTCTTTTGTATACATATGATATCATATTACTAACACATGATGACATTAGTTTACAAAAACATTTTGACACTTTGGCTAGCTTTTGTACTCAAAAGCAGATGAAATTCAATTTGAAGAAGTCAAAAGTCATTCTTGTGGTCACTATATCTAAGCTTTATTTCCTTTTGCAAAGTATTAGAGTTAGAACAAGTGACGAGTTACAAATATCTAGGCATTGATTTCTCCCAAAATTATAGTTGGGCACTTTCTATGCAAAAGAGACTAGAATCTGGTTCCAAAGTTCTATACTCATTCCTAAATAGATGAAGAGGAGCTCATCTAGTGTCTTGAAGTCTTAGGTAATTCTTATTCATGAGCTTAGTGTTTCCGGTTATCTTATATGGATCACAAATTTAAGGTCTTGGTTGTAAGAAGACAAGTTGGCAATGTTTGGAGAGTGCAAGATATCTTCTAACAAGAAGAATTGGATGTGAGGATCCAAACTTCATATGCTATTCTTCTTGCGAAAATAGTGTCTCTATCTCTTGAGGCTGAAGTTCTCTTCTTGACTATCACTTACATTAGAAGAGTGAGATCTTTTGTTCATTCTTGACTTTCTCCTCAAGCTTTGCATGCCACATGTTCCAAGGAATGGTTTTGCAGATGTGGTGACTTGGTCTTTGAGGTGAAATGTGACGGAACTCGATTGGAATTTGCAACTTATGACCCTTTGGAAGCGTATTAAGGAGAAATCTGTCAACATCATTTGGAGCCGACAAGACATTAAAATGAAATTTTGTCAACTTCATGTGAATCCTATGTCAGTTTATTGTGAGCAAGGATATCTACTTGCGGAGATCTCTACATCTTTACGTCATATTATTGCTCGGCATAGAACAATATCTCATAGTCTTGGATTTGAAGAAGGGCGTTGGTTGAACATTGAGAGGAATGAACATATTTGAAGGCTATGTGATGGGAAAAAAGTTGAGTAAGAAGAGCATGTATTTTTTATTTGTACTACATATATAAGTATTAGAGTGTTTCATAAAATTATTGTTGAGAATTTGTATTCTTTACTACAGCTTGAGCCTTATAATATAGGTTGTTTTATGAGGTATGTTATTAGTTATAGTTCCAGTGTTATGGGCATTAATTACAGTATTCTTTTGGTTCTCTCCTAATTTGGAGCTGGATTGTTTGTATTGTAATTTCTAGACTTTGGAGACTTTGGGTACAAGAGTCTTGATCTATTTATCATTTACCATAATCCAAAAAATGTAACTTGTCATAAACAATATGATAAGAAGATTAGTATTATAATAAATCATGAAAATAATGATATTTGTGAATGTTCATAGAAGAGAGATGACATGAAAGCATTTAGCATAGCATATTATGGTAATAAGTTTTTAGAAGATTCCACCAATACTCTACATATTTTACGTTAAATGGATGATATATGCTATCAAAATAGCTTTGAACTTATAATTCAATACAACCTGATAAGAATGGAATCTTACGAGTGGTTTACTGCCGAAATATAGTTATTATCGTATGGCATCTCCGAGTGGTTTCATTGATGTGTACACAAATGATATAGGAAATATGAATTATGCCCCAAATGCACGCAAAAAGAACCAATTAAAACTGTATGAGTGTACTTCTAAATCCCAAGAAACTCACATGCCTCCGGTATATGACTAGGTGACAATAGGATTTCAAATAAGTAAAATCCTTGTCATGAATCTGGAATTCTTCTATATTTGTTGAAGTGCCGATTGGGTCTACCGACTGAATCCGTATAACGAGAAGAGTCCAAGGTTCTTTGCAGAGAGACACGTGTATGTAGCTAATGTCTCAAGACGACACGTGTTGCAAAGGTGGCAAGCTGTGCCATTGCCACCTCTAATCGTCGACTGGGACTGTTCGAGGACTGATCAGTCGATCGATCGAAGACGAGAGAGTTCTGAGAATGCCGATTGTGTTTTAAGACTTACGAGCCTCGTGGATGAAAAGAGCCACTTTTCTTAAATTGCAGGGAACAAACAGAATAGGAATTCTTCTATTACCTCCGGCTACGTGGTAGTGTACATACTTCGAATCAAATCGCGGCACAACGCACGACAGTTGATCGCTTGCGATTGATAGATTGATAGAATTCGGTGAGTACATTCCTTTGTTCCCTAGCTGTACATTTGTAGATACTATAGAATCTTCGGTGCTTCATGCAATGTCTTGGATTTCTCTTTAAACTTGAATGATTTTAGATTGCGTGTAAGTGGCAGTTGATCATGTTGCTACTGCTTCTGTACTTCAAACTCCATATGCAAATCTCTCGCCTACTCCCTCGATCGAAAGATGAAAAGTGGAAGGAGATCATTTCGTTTGCATTTATGCTCTGTCTCTGGTCCTGCATGTCTAAGAGTAGCTTACTGTAGTCGCTTTTCCACTTTGTTGTACAAGAGTGGGTCCGCTAGTCATTGCTGAACCTGTTCAGCAATGAACAAAGATTCGACCAGTTTTACCATTGTTGTTCACACTCTTTCAAGTTGAGAGTCCTGTGGTTGATATGCAGTACATTACGATTTTTTCTGCTTAATGCACCGTTGCACTGCACCGTGTACATGGGCACAACTGTAGATGTATCAGTGACTTAGTTGTCACAGATGGAGATTTTCTCAATCTACGCTGGCTCAAGAATCCTCACGACCATTTGTTACCTCGAATAATATGCAGTAGATTACGATAGTTTCTGCTCAATGCAGATCTGCAGTGCATCATGCACATGGGCCGAACTGTGGATGTATCGATGACTGAGTTGTTACAGGTGGATATATTTTCTCAATCTATTCTGACTCCAGACTCACGACTCTTTTTTACCTCGAGCTCCAGGAACATCGACTTTAGTCCATGTCGGTGCATTGATACTATTCCTTGGAGAACAAACGTTTGATCAAAAGGCTTCGTATTACGGACCTATCTGCTCACCATGCCCAAGGGAGGAAATGGCATTGATCCCATGATGGCTTTTGTTCCACAGATTGCACAGCTGGGTGATCAAAGTATCAGCATTTTTGTTTTTTTGATTGCTACGAAATATGCAAGGACCTCAACAAAGTGGAGGCGATGTGAATCGCGCTGCTGCCCCAGGTCAGTGACTGCAAGATGTGGCTTTTGAGTATCTTGTGGTTGTATTCAAGATGTCTCTCGGGAAGATCGAGAAGTCTGCTTAGCTTTATACCACATGTGCATCTGATGATAGATAGAGTCATGAACCTCAGTTATTGATCAGCTCTCCTTGAACATTGATTGGACTACCCCTGCCTGGTTCCCAAATGCTGTGCGTATCGAGCGAAGAAATATTTGTGCCAATTTTTCTGTTATCAGTTTGGAAGTTCTTGCACGGGTGTCTAAGCAAGTCTGGCCTTTCTTATCTAAGCTGCATTCCATCTTTCATTACTATCTGGCTGTAATAAGCTTCGAATCTACTGTTGCAAAATTTCTCTCTCCTCTGAACTCTTGGTTGCAAATGTAGCTGCTTGTAATCTCTAGTTCAAGTAGGTGGAGATTCCGCTGACTTTTTTTGTGCATGGAATTCTGTTAGATCAATTAGAGGACAAATCTCGTGGGTGGAACAACAGCATTTCGCCAGTAAACCTTATCAAGGAGAAGAGCACGAATCTGACTGAGACAGTGAAGGAGAAAGCAGCGATCGCAGCCGACTCGATAAAGGGAACAGCGGATGCCGTCATTGGCGCAGCACGTGAGACTGCAGATGAATATATGGGCACTCCAAAAGCCAGAGAAGGAGGGGCGGCTCACACATCTGGAATAGGACTGGCCGGAGTTTTGAGTGATTCGACCCCCGAAGTGGGACATCGTGAACAGAAAAATACAACAACCGCAGCTGATGCTAGAAGCTCGTATGGCTCACTCAAGGAGAAAGCCGAGAATGCAGCTGGAGAATTGAAGAAACGTGTAACCGAAGGAGGTCAGGAGATGGAGGGTAAAGCATGGGAGATGAATGAGTTGGCTAAGGAGAATCAGAATTCAGGGAAGACAGTTGATCCCGCAGCAGAATTGATAAACAGAGCTCGTGGGTGGGATACGAGTTCCTCGTTAGTGGAATCGATCAAGGAGAAGGCTTTGCACGCCAGCGATGTGGTGAAAGAGAAGAGTTTAGCTACTCCTGAGAAAATCAAGGAATCATTCCAGAATGCCTCCGGATTAGTGCAAGAAAAAGCAGGCATTTTTACCGAGTGGGCCGAGGAAACGGCTGGGGCAGCAGTAAAAACATTGGAAGATACTGCAACTGCTCTCAATGATTCAGCAGCTGAGACTTCACGCGAAGAGAATCCACGTACTTTCGGTGACTGGGTTAAGGAAACAGCCGGGGCAACAGTGAAAGTAGTCGAGGATACTTCGAAAGCTCTCATGGGTTCAACTGATGACTCTTTTGAAAACGCCGGAAATTCCCAATCAGAGAAGCAAACAGCAGGCGATGTTTCATCAAGAACGAAGGAGAAAACCTCCAGTACGTTGAAATCAGCCGAAGAAAGCTTTGGATCTGTCAAGAAAATGGGCCAAAGGGGTGAGGAAGTTGCTGAAGAGAAGGCCAGCAGCGTGGTTGATTCAGCTAAAGACATCACTGAAACGATGAAGGATAAGGCAAGAGCCGGTTTGGAGTCAGCCGAGGAAATGGTAGACGACGGTGTCAGAAATGTGAAAGAAAACACAGGAAACATGGTTGAATCAGGGAAAGAGGCCTTGAAGGAAGCCAAAGCTAAGGGTGAAGCAGGCGTGGAATCTACTAAACAAGAGACAGCAGGTATGTTTAAGTCAGCCGAGGAGGCTTCAGGAAGAGCCAGAGCGAAGGCAGGAGATGATGTGAACGTAGTGAAGGAGAAGTCAGGAGAAATGGTTGATTCAGCTAAGGGAGCTTTAGAAACAGCCAAGGCAAAGTCAAGTGATGGTGTGAACGTAGTGAGGGAGAAGTCAGGAGAAATGGTTGATTCAGCTAAGGGAGCTTTAGAAACAGCCAAGGCAAAGTCAAGTGATGGTGTGAACGTAGTGAGGGAGAAGTCAGGAGAAATGGTTGATTCAGCTAAGGGAGCTTTAGAAACAGCCAAGGCAAAGTCAAGTGATGGTGTGAACGTAGTGAGGGAGAAGTCAGGAGAAATGGTTGATTCAGCTAAGGGAGCTTTAGAAACAGCCAAGCCAAAGTCAAGTGATGGTGTGAACGTAGTGAAGGAGAAGTCAGGAGAAATGGTTGATTCAGGTAAGGGAGCTTTAGATTCAGCCAAGGCAAAGTCAAGTGATAGTGTGAACGTAGTGAGGGAGAAGTCAGGAGAAATGGTTGATTCAGCTAAGGGAGCTTTAGAAACAGCCAAGGCAAAGTCAAGTGATGGTGTGAACGTAGTGAAGGAGAAGTCAGGAGAAATGGTTGATTCAGCTAAGGGAGCTTTAGAAACAGCCAAGGCAAAGTCAGGTGATGGTGTGAACTTTGTGAAAGAGAAATCCGGAGAGATGGTAGAGTCAGCAAAGGACTCTACAGATTCTGCTAAATCAAAAGTAGGGTCAGCCATCAAATCCACGAAGGAAAGGGCAGAAGATGATGTTAGTACAGCTAAGGAGAAAGCTGGAAATGTGGTAAACTCGGCTAAGGACACTGGCGAATCACTCAAGGAGAGGGCAGAGGAGAAAACGGAATCGGCTAAAGCAACTGGCGGAGAAATGCTTGATTCAGCCAAGGGGGTAGTTCGATCAGCATCCGACTCGCTCCAAGAGAAAGCAGCCGATGGTGTCGATATGGTGAAGGAGAAAGCAGGAGACGCACAGCAGACTGCACGATCTACATCAGATTCTGTCAAGGAGAAAGCAGCAGATGGTTTCGAGGCAGTGAAGGACAAAGCAGGAGATGCACAGGAGACTGCACGATCAGCCTCCGACTCTCTCAAGAACAAAGCAGCAGATGGTGCCGAAGAAGTCAAAGAGAAGGCAACACATGCGGTGGTCCCAGGCAAGGAGACCATTCAATCCTCTAAGGAGAAGACAGAAGGGGTCGCGAAATCTATGAAGGACAAGGCAGATGAATCTGCAGGATCCACAAAAGAAGCCATGGATTCAGTGAAAAATTCTGCACCATCAGCAGGCGAGGAAGCAGAAAATGCTGTTGACGCTGTCAAGGACCAAATCCCGTCTGAATGGGAGCAGCAGGCCATTAAGTCAACCCCAAAGACCTTCGGGAACACCTCTGAAGTTTCGCAAGATTCTATTGACAGAGCTGATGACATCTTAGAAACTCTGAGGGGAAGCGGTCGAGGGCTATCGAAAGTTGATGAAAACTCCAGGCAAGAGCATGGATCGCCTGCCAACAAGACCACCATGACAGACATCAAAGACAAGGCACTTGATGCCAGTCAGTCAGTGAAGGAGACAGCAGGTCATGCCGGCGACGTTGTGAAGGAAACTGTTGGCGCTGCCTCTGATTGGGGAAGAAGAAAGATGGAGAACGTAAGCAAGTCCGCCCAAGATGACGAGGAACTTTCAGTAGATTCCATGAAAGAGAAAGGACGTGAAGTGACAAATCTCGTGAAGGAAAAAGCGGGAAATGCTTCCGACAAGGTACAGGAGAAAGCTGCAGCCACAAGCGAGACTGTCAATGACAAAACGGAATCAATGAAAGAAGGGGTGAAGGAATCAGTCGAGAGAGGAAAGGAGAAAGCCGAAGAGGTGAAGCAGGACGTAAAGGAATCAGTGCAGGATGTCAAGGACAGAGTACAAGATGAATCATCGCCTGATAATCATCATCATTCCCTTCTAGACTCGATCAAGGAGAAAGCAGGGAGCGTGACTCAGTGGGCGAAGAATGTCTCTGGATTGGGAAGCCGCAAAGTAGACGAAGCCAGTGATGCTATGCAGGAGAGAGCAGAAGCAGGAAAGGCAGCTGTAAAAGATACTGTACACAAACAGGAGGATGCAGCTACTAATACGACTAACAGGAAGACATCTCCAACCGAATCAGTGATGAAAACAACTGAGGAGTCGTTCAACACATTGAAGCAGAAAGCTGGAGAAGAAGCCAATTTTGTCAAGGAGAAAACATATTCTGCTGTGGAGAAAGGAAGGGAGTTGGCACAAGATACTACAGAGTCGGTGAAGGAAAAGGCTGGAAATTTCACGGGCTGGGCCAAGAACGCAACGGGGTTAGGAAGCAAAGGAGCACATGAGAGTGGAGAATCCGCTCCGGAGAAAATAGAGCAGTCTATGCAAGAGAGGGCAGCAGAAGTTAGTGGCTCTGTTAAGGAGAAAGCAAACAGAATGGTGGCAGAAATGCGGCCCCCTACCGATCTAGGTCTGCCCAGTGTGGATCTTTCTTCCAGAGAAAACGACACCGTCAGCGTCAGTAGTACCACCGACAAGACTGTAGTGAGTAGTATTCCGAGAGTAGACTCTTTCAGTGACCCCGGTGAAAAAGCAGCACGATCGTTCATGTCAAGCCTTAGTGAAGCTCAAGATGCTTTATTCTAGATTACATTCAGCAGACTGTACCGACTGAGTAGAAAGCTAATTAATTAGTTAGACAATTTTGAGCATAGGGAACTTGTAGAGTACTTGTTCATTTTAATTTACGACAATTGAGGTCTGCTGTACTTGTCTTTGCTGAGATGCTCAATCGTTGGATGTGTGTCCGAGCTGTATTCTTGGTATGTAGCAATATTCTTGCCAGAATTGCAAGCTCAAAGATAGATTGGAGGTTTGTATCTTCACATCCAGCGATATTCAACTGCTTGCTGTTGTCCATAAGTTGGCCTCCGAGAAAATGTCTAGAATTCTTTTATGAAGCCCAAGAGTAGAACTTTGTCCAAACGACGGTATAGCTAAATTTTAACTGAAGGGTTATAGGTGTCTGCAGTTAAGAACTTGTATTGATTCTCCGAGCACTTGAATTTTGATCATTATTTCAAGGTTTTAGTCATGAAGGGAGAAGCGTCATACCCTAAACCCTGTGCGCTTCAGGATTGAATGCTGAATTACAGCTGAAGGCAGGAAAGGCCATATTGCACGGCAGATTCTTTTGGTTATTACTTTCTGAACAACATCTTTGATCAATTTCTTTGTCAATATCTGTATTCTTGTTTCGTATCGTAACAATTTACAGTGAAGCCTCTCTGCTTTGTATACCTAAGATCACTTCGCAAAAGCACGGGGTATGAAGTCGAGTGACAATGTGATAGTTGCAAAATCATACCCATTTTCGACACTATGCATTTCTACAACAGCAGAGAACTGTAATAGATTAGTTCAGTCTCAGTCGTTGAGTATGAATGCACAGAGACTTGTACAATGTACGGTTGCAAATACTCTGCTTCTACTCAAATTCCACATTCCTCGAAGAGTGTCTCCTTCTCAGCTTACCTCCTCCATACGCAATGTAGAAATACACAACATGAATTGCAGTTGAACACAAACAACCCTAAAAAAAGGGTACGTTCATTCCAAACTTCCTTGCCATGTTCTGGATATGAAATCGAGTCATAAGGATAACCTGGAATAATATCTGGGCGTTCCTCAAATCAAAGTTTTCAGTATTTCAATAACTGCTCTCTGGAATTCTTGATATTATAGCTGTGCAAGATTGTGCTTCCATGAAACTGCGGAGATTTGAGCAATCATTTCTCATTCAATGTTAGGTTCCATTGAAGCTTTCATACCATATACACCGCCGAGTAAATTGCTGAGGTATTATTTTGCGAGTGAAACATAATGTGAGCACATTCCCACATTCCTCGAAAAAGAGCTGAGAGATATAAGTTGGTATTGTTATCGTTTCAAGGGAAGTTAAAACTTATTGTCTCTAAATTTTCTAGGCGAAACTTGCAGAGTATTTCTCTTTGCAAACGAAACAACAATAATCGTTTGAAAAATTAAGTGGATTCGTGTTCAATCGAATCACTTTGGATGGAGGAGATTGGCAGAGGACAATGCTTGTAATTAGTAAAATTTGTCATACCTATAATGTACCCGAGTAAATTTCTTTCAATTAAAGATGGGAAACCTACTAACTTGAAGTCATTGAATCTTTGTAATCATTCGGATCTTTTGAATCGCGCCAGCTTTAGATAATTTGTTCTCTGACATAAGGTGGCAGAGATAAAAAAAATTAAAAATTATAGTGCTTAATTATATAGTTGATACTCTTGGAGTGATAGTTATCTGGCAAATTATTGAGAGTTATGTCATTAGTTCTTTACAAATATAGGATAAGTTTATGATAATGTGCTACTGCACCCAAGGATTTATGATGCAGAACTAAGATCTGGACATCCCGCGGTATATAAGAAATTCTTTGTAAAAACCTCACTCGGTAAGTATTTCACAAGAGTCAAAAGTCTTAAAGGGTCTATTGAAATCATTGTTAGCCATTAAAAGGGTCTATCTTAGCCATTGCTAAGATAAATCTTCCGTTTTTTTTGCATAGCATTCATTGATAATGAAAACTAAGTATTTCAACTTGAATTACTCGTTTCTATACTGTGACAATTGGTTTATATGTAAAATTTAACTTATATTTAAGTTAGTATAGGATATGTGTTTATCTCTACGATACATACCTTAAACCTATTCTTATCGTGGGCACCGAGCGTACACATTTGAAAGTAGAACAGCATGTAATGTAGTCAACAGTATGTTTTCACTTGACAGATAATATATTCTAAAAGTGAATTTGGGAATAATATGCAATCCGTATTCAGAAAATGTCATAATATAACTTATTTGATCTTACTTTTCATTCAAAATTATTTTCCGGAATTGAACGTTATCACTTTTCCTGAATTAAGACTATAAAGTGGACTAAAAAGTATTGAAGTGGTTTTTGTCTCTACTTTGACGTACTCTTAACTTTTTTCTTTACATATTTAATGGTTATGTTAAAAGCTCGATTGTTCATATCAAGGTGAAGTATGATATTTAAAAGGTATATATCATATCGTGTTTCGTGAACAAAAATATTGTTCCATATACTCGTCATAAGATTGTTATTTATGTATTTTATCCTCCTAAACTGTCATACATTTAAGAAGAGACGAGAGTCAAGACGTAATGTACAGAACTTAATTTTCTACTTGTCGAGGCGGCTTTGATGCGCGAATGAAATGTCAAAGTTTAGGAGACTTTTAGACTAACCAATATTGTACTATCTACGTATCGTACGGGAAATATGACTGCAAGTTGATACTATCGGCCTTGTCCTAGGGAGAATATCAACGCAAACACTTCTCTGGCATAACGAGGCATATGTACATTACTGTTTTGCATGCAGCAGTCTTCATTTGTCCCTAAGCTATGTTTCATAGAGAGCCTACGCATGCATCGTAGGTATTCACGTTATGTACATATCATATCCAATTTCATAGTTTGCGCAACAATTTAGTTACAGAGTAATAGAAAATTCCTCTGTTCACATAACTCATTGCCTAAGATCCAACAGTCTTCTCTTGGGTAAGAAGGAATAGCTACCATCTATTGGAGTGCACGACATGTCAGGAAAATAAAGTCTGATTTCTGCCACCTCAGCAGTAACGCATGGTTGTAGTGCAACAACTTAATCTACGTCGTAGCACTCTGAGTTTACGGAGAAAGAGACAATCTATCGCACCATGCAAAAATCACGATCCCATCTTTCAAGAGTGCACGCCAGAGATAATGTAGACACAGAGTAATCTGAAGACGAATAACATCACTTGCTGCGGATGGCAGTTCATATTAAAGAGTATTTTCGGCACTCTTGAGGTGACAAAAGATCTGGAACGAGGGACACAAATTGCAGCCAGCTACACTCAGCTTGCATCTGGGTCACCATATGCATCTGAGCCTGTACCTGGGCTGCTGTGGGGTAACGGAGGAGGATGATGATGTGACGAAGAAAAGGGAAGAGAGAAGCTAGAGATGTCTCAACTAGTCACTACTGGCAGCTTCGTGTGATTAAGTATCCTCAAAGCTACACGATGATAATGTTGAAATCTCGAGTCACTGCGAGGCTGCTATGAACAGCTTGCTATCAGGGACCTACAGCTCAATTCCCCGCAGTCAACGACAAGTAGTCTCACAGACAAACTTTGGCGGCGACCTTTGTATACCTCATGCTCATCCAAGTGCCGCAATGAAGAGCCGGAGCTCTACCATCCGGGAACCTTCTTGCCTGCACAAGGACCAGACCATGATCGGGTTAGAATATGTTCGAAACTCAAGGAGAGCTTTGGGCGTGACGAGACGAGTTCACAACTCTGGGCAATTCTATAATAGTCTAGAATAGTAAAATAGAAAGTAACAAATAAACGAATGCATTCTAGAGATTCTGAGAAAGTTCCACCATATGTTATTCGATGAATTGAGCTGAATTCGAATCATTCCAGCTCCACTACCATTAACTAGAAAGGAGATGACAGAATAAAATTCTGGCAGTATAATGGGTCCTAGTACTTTAGAAAAAAGTGCGTGTGTCATCTAAGCTGTACAATCAAACAGAACCTGGGCTGCGAGACTGAGATGGGTGTCCGTGCTAGATATGTATATATAGGTACGATCGAAATATCTGTGGGAGAAGTTTCAAGGGAAGACGTTTGTGTTTGACAGCATGACATAACTTTGTCGAAGGGCTAAAGTGCAGAAAGCGGGATTGCTGAGGTATGCGGAGAGCATCGCAATGGGAACGAGAATCTTACCTCGGCAGTAGGTGCCCTTAGGAACGGTGCGACCACACTTCTGAGGCAGCTGGATAAGTTGGTCGAAGTCAGCGAGTCCGTTGTTGTTGGAAGCAGTGTCGCACAAGCACTTCTCGGAAGTGGTTCTGATTTTCTGGCAGCATGGGCTGTTGGCGGGTGGAAAGGCGTTGCCTTTCTTCCCGTACTGAAGGCAGGATGCGTAGCTCGTCAAACCGGGGCACGCCTGAGCGTTGGCCACGACGACCATCGCAAGGAAGACAAATGCAGCGAGCTGTGCATTTCTGGGATCCATTGTGAGACAGAGAGACTCGAATGAGTGATGCTCGTGAGATGTATCCGTGCAGACGCGAAGCCTTAGTGAGAAGCAGCCTGGACAGACAATGCAAACGGTGAAGAAGGATGACAATAAAAGGTGAGGCTTCGCACATTTATACCAAAGTTCCCTGCCTCGGCTCCCTCCATCCCTTTTCCCTACCCGCTGCCTGAGTTTCCTCCCCTGCCACGTCTAGTGCTCGAGCCGTAAGCAGGTGTGCTGTGATTGTTTGACAATCACAGCCACTACTCATTTCGTTGAGGCAGAGGCACTGGAGAGCAGACACCCAGCTACCTCTGTCGTACAACCTCATCAATGATCATGTTATTAAGTTAGGCCTCTGGTGCAATTCATAACCCACTCCGGATGACTCTAAATCCTTCTAGGTCTACTCTTCCAGTTCTCCTGACTTACTGCCCTTGCTCATGTTCTGTCTCCTCCCATGAACCTTAGCTTCTTTCCTTAAAACAATTCTCATCTCAACGTAAATCTTCATAAGCTCATGGAACAGTTGTTGATATCAACGACACTGAACATGTTGTTTTTATCAAGCCTCTCAAAACAGACTCCCTTAAAACAATTCTCATCTCTACGTAAATCTTCAAAAGCTCATGGAACAGTTGTTGATATCAACGAAACTGAACATGTTGTTTTTATCAAGCCCCTCAAATTATACTCCTTCGTACCCTGGATCGACCAAGGAGAAGATCATATGACGCTGACGAAACTTGTGTTCACGTCGCCGTAGTAAGTTACACTGAAGTGCGTTATGTCCTGTAAAACGGGCACTGACAATTGACTTGGGCATAACAGTTCGGTACACAGAATGGGTTCAATAATCGAAAATTCCAATTGTAACAGATATGAAACGCGAGGATGGTCATGGATATTCTTACTAATTACAGTGTTCGATTGAGAAACCCACGAAGAATTAAAAGCAGAGCTTGACTTTTTTCGCGCGCCCAACTAAGGCATCAGGTACAGTACCGGGAAAGCAACAACCAAGATTCACGGAGCCTTAATGCACAATGGCTTGTACGGGGATGTACTTCCCACCAGAACTTGGAGTCTTGGATTTGAGTAGAAGCTTCTGGATAATGGTCCACTATACAATTGTATAACTAGTACGTGCAGAGGTGATCGCATCTACGGGTTTACCAGATGGCACAGCTCACATTTCGATTACTCAGATAGCCAGCCGAACAGTCTGAGGTGGGAAAACAGTTGTTGGCATAAATATCGCTTAAACTAAGAAAATGCTGACGATCCTCGAGAAAAGAACATAACTTTCTTATGTTGCATTGTTCTCTAAGTTGTCAAACAGAGTAAAAAATATCGCTACACTAAAAACTTAAATGTGAAAAAATCATTTTCTATCTTTCATTCATATATTTTAATATATCGATGAAATAGTATTTTAGTTTTAAGTTTATAAATGTTTTGCGCGATGTGATGAAATCATCATTTAATTTATAACATGTTTCGATTTATATCAAGTTACAGGAGGGCTACGTAAAAAAAACTCACATAAGACTAATCCACCGTTAGATGTTTGCTTCAACTATCGTTTGACTTGCACCAAATGTACATTCATGTGCATATTTGGAATTTTTTTTCCTAAATATATATTGTTTGCTTTCATCAAGAGTGTGAATGTTTCATATCATGGTTTGGTTTACAATTAAAATATAATAACAATACAAAATTTTAATAAAATTAAACAGCATAAAATGCTGTTGGATATGTAGTGATTACAATGCTTACAAAGGATACGATTTCAAAGGATTTAGATCAAAGGAAATACCAAGAGAATGAAAAAAATCATCATCAAACATAATATTTTGCAGAAGTATAAGTGATTTCAACTTTATTTCAAAATTACATGTAAAAATTTAGACGCCCTCTCCAAGAAAATTACTGAATTTCACCAAGCTGGATTACATAGCATATCACTCTCTTGAGTTTTTTTTACCTATCTTGGTTAATATATTCCCTTTGCTCAACAAGAGACAGTAGTCAACTTAATCTATACTAGATATCATTTTAGAATATGATACTCATGTTGTAAACGGAAGTACTAAGTTTTGAATGTTTTGTATATGTTTACATGCATATGTTTGCTACCTTACTTGGTTATTTGTTTTAATGTGAGGCTGCACTGTTGCATCTCATGCGTATCTAGCTGGACGCACTTGTATTAATGATTTATCGACCCAAGATTAATATAAAATGTACACAACTCCTGAAAACCTACTCCTTCAGGAACTCTTTTTTCCAGCAGGGAGGTTAAAAAGTGCGCTTAATGATGTAAATAACTAGCGGCACCCTTGTCACAAAAGCAGCAGAATTACTGAGTGCAGATTTAGGATAGCTATCGTGAGAGCTAGAAAAGACCTTTGCATATGACCAGGAACAACCTTTTTGTACTGAACTACTGGGAAGATTCAGGGACGTCAACTACAATAACTTATTCAGACATTTTGCCAGTGTCGTCAGTGAAGGACTTTAATTTCCCATGCATTAGAGCAATTTCCTTTTTACCCGCCCTTGACTTGTGTCTTTGGATCAGTCTTACGATCATGAGGATCACAGCTTACGAGAAACGGTACAGAAACGAGTGTCATGCACAGCTGATGATTCATTACTAGCGATCCGCTGGATTTTATTTTTGCTTACCACACATCCTCTCCAAAGGGGACACCAGATAATTTAGCGAAAACGATAGGAAGACCCAATCTAGGCGAGATATGGTAATTATGAGCATTACCATAGCATCATAGAGAAGATTCTACTATAATACAGCTAAACTACCTGAACAATATAGTTCAAGTACTTTAGAAATTTAGTCAAGCGAGGATTCTATGTTAATAGAACTAGGATATCTGAACACCGTAGTGTTCTACAGACAACACAATATCCATATAAGAATTACCCAATGTAATTGGTGTTCTCTAGAAGCACAAGCTAGTGCTGGAATTAAGTGTGAGTTTGAATCGAGCTAATGGGTCCATCTTTCTTTAGAAGACTATCTGCAGGGTTCAATACCCTTGGAGAGGAATGCTCAAGCGTCCTGCGATAACACCGCAATTTCCAGATCTCAATAATCCCTCACAAAGAAATACAACGACCCAACAACTGCGCTTGTATGTGTGTTCAGTTGCTTCAGAGTCACTTCAGTGAAAATGATCGGTTCAGATTTCAAGGTCGTGAATTCAGCTGACTGATCTGAGTAAGTGAGGAGTTGGTACTCTATGACCAAGTCTGACAGCTGAGGTGAATTGTTCAGTCGAATTGGGGCTGCTCATATTGGAAAACCCACCGAGCCGTATGAGTAGATTTGTTGTCGACATCAGTTCCAGTCAGGCAGGGTCACACCCGTCTTGAGGTACATGGCAAGTCCAACTGAACTGTCTCAAGACCTACCGCTGGCGGTGGGGCAAGTATTGAGTCGACATCCAAAAGTCGGGCCTCTGGCAATTGGGCTGCATCCAAGGCCCTCCATGTGCAGTCAGTCAAGAGGTACCCCTGATCAACTTGTCAAGCATTCATAATGTCATTCACCAAATTTCACCGCCCCCATGCCATCACTATAACGGTAGGTCGTGACTCCTGAGGTGCCATTCCAGTAGCTCACGCGACGCCATTTGGATGGGCATTAAATCTACCCGGTTGGCATTCTGCTAGAGGATGCTCTTTCGTGATCGCGTATGTCGCCATTATTGCCTCGATTGTGCTGAAGTCAAACTTGAATGTACTGTGAACTGAAGCAGCGAGTCATTGTGGTAGTTCAGGTGTCTGCTCCGTTCAGGACCTGCACCTTGAAACAATTATGGCATTTGGCCAGATTCTTGTCTCTTCTGCTTCCTCAATCTCCGTGCTCTGATCCAGTGATCTTCACCAGTGGCGATTGACCAGACGACCACGCTTCTAGTCTTCTCCATCGCAGAGTTTCAAGACTTCGCTGTCAAGCTTCGACAACTGTACTCTTGCTTTCTGCCGGGCCCTCTCATCACATCATCGATTTAGTTTGCCACGCGCATCATGAAGAAACTCCCAGTATTCGAGGAATATTAGCTGACTTGAGATTTTCGCCATCTCATCCATCAGTCCGGTTTCGAAAGCAGGGACGCATGCGATCTCAGAAGCCTCCGCCATTGCTTTGGGCCACAACGTATTTACGTAGTCTCAAAAGCGATTGTGGCCTTTGAGACTTGAGAGCTAGCAACGAAATAGGCCAGCGCTGTAGGAGTTGCGACCACCACTTAACCACTCGTCCTACTTTCGGAATCAGTGGGCTTGGTAGACTCTTGCATATGCAGGACTTGCTGCTATCGAGCTCCGCAGTCTTCATTAGCTTTTCTGGCCGAGATTCTCCTAAGATAAATTTTTCAAGCTCAAACTGTAATTTTTCTCGAGCTGATTATCTGCAGTGCATACATTAGAGACCATAGTTGTGAAGCCTTGAGTTGCGTTATAACTCTTGCTTGTCTTGAGAATGAAGTCGCTCACAAATTATGGTCTAGATATTCTCAACCTTCTCCTTATATTGTCGAGAGAAAGTTAGTTTTAAAGGAGCAGAATTTCGACTGTCATGTCTGGGTCGACAAAAGCCAACATATTCTATCAGGCTCAAACTGCCAGCAAAGCTGATCACAACCCCAGACAAGAAAGTTCTACAACGGATGTTCTAGAGTATGTAGTACACATCCGTATCAAGCTAGTTTCCATCCTAGCATTCTATGCCAAGTCCACTCTATTGTCAGCTCCGATATTAGAATAGGGGAAAGCTAGAGCAAAGGCCTGGAATGTACTCCTTCACAAAATCTTCCCTATGCCTTTACAGTAGCGACAACTACCATAAAGTTAGATTTCGTGGTTGTCGCTACCATATACGGCCGACCCTTTAGTGGCACCTGCAAGGCTGATTATCTGAACCACACCAACGAGGTGGTTAAATGGACGTATCTCTTTGGGACATTAGCATGTGGTAAAAACAACTAAATACAACAATGTGATGCTCGAGTGTTAGCCCAGCAAGGGAGGGTATGGTCAACAGGATTAACCATGAGCTCAAAAAGTTGATGGTAA